ATTTTAATTTGCATTTTCTTGTTTACTAATGAGATTGAGCATCTTTTTATATGTTGATGGGCCATTCATGTTTTCTCTTCTGGAAAATGCCTGTTCATGTCTTTTGCCATTTTTAAAAATTATGTTTCTTTTTCTGACATTTGAATTCTTTGTATCATCAGAATTCTGATCATTTATAAGATAAATGTGTTGCAAAGTTTCTCTCAACTTATGATTTAGTTTCTCATTCTCCTTACTGTGTCTTTTGATAAGTAGTCATTCTTAATTTTTCTGCAGTCAGATTTATCAGATATTTTCTTTTATGGTTTGTTCTTTGTATCTTAAGAAATTCTTCTCCAGGGTGGGGGGATGGGGTAACTGGGTGTGATAGGCATTAAGGAGGGCATGTGATGCAATGAGCACTGCGTGTTATGTACTGCTGATGAATCACTGAACTCTACCTCTGAAACTAACAGTACACTATATGTTAATTGAATTTAAATAATATAAAATAAATTTTTAAAAAATAAAAAAATAAAAAAGAAATTCTGCTCCATTGTGTGTCAACTGTACTTCAATAAGAAAAATGAATGAATGAATCAGTAGATAAAGTTCTGTTCTATCTTATGGTCATAAAGATATTCTCCATTATCTCTCTATTTATCTATGCATATGTATACACATACACATTTAAATGTTTAATCCACTGGAAATTGATGATATGTGTGTGCATTATGCAATTTCCTTTATTTTTCCCCAAATGCATAACCAGTCATTCCCATTTCACATCTTTCCCCACTGCTCTGCAATGCCCTCTCTCATAAATCAAAAGTCTACATGTGTGCAGTCTGTTCCTGGGCTCTCCACTCTGCACTGGCAGTCTGTCTGTGCACCAATGTCACGCTATTTTAATTACTCTTGATATCTGATAGAATGAATCTATACATTTTGTTCTTCAGGAATGTTTTGGTTATAAGCTTTAGAACAAGTTTGTCATTCTCACAAAAAGATCTTTTTTTCAAGTATTAAATCCACAGATGACTTTGGGGAGATTTCTAAATGTTATTGACATTTAGACATGCAACTGACACACACACAGCTTTTCTATAAAACAACCTTACTAAACTCTTTTATTAGTTCTAATCATTTATCTGCAGATTCTTCTGTTCTCCACATAGCTAATCATACTGACTACAAACGATGATAATTTTGCTTCTGTTCTTTCCGATCCTTATACCTTTATTTCCTCTTTTCTGTCTTACTGTGTACCCACAAAAAAGCCGGTCTCATGTGAAGGGGAGTGGTCAGAGTAGGCAGCTTGGTCTCGTTCTGGGATGCTGTCTCCTACAATTTTTTTTGTAAAAATTGATCAAGCTGTGTACTTATGATTTGTGCCTTTTTTAAAAACACTATGTTAGGGGCGCCTGGGTGGCTCAGTCGTTAAGCGTCTGCCTTCAGCTCAGGTCATGATCCCAGGGTCCTGGGATCAAGCCCCGCATCAAGCCCCGCATCAAGCCCCGCATCAAGCCCCGCATCGGGCTCCCTGCTCAGCGGTAAGCCTGCTTCTCCCTCTCCCACTCCTCCTGCGTGTGTTCTCTCTCTCGCTGTCTCTCTCTCTCTGTCAAATAAATAAATAAAATCTTTAAAAAATAAAAAAATAAAAAAACCCACTATGTTATACTTCAGTGAAAAGTAAAAAAAAAAAAATTTTTTTTTTAGGACCATTTCCCCATCATCCTAACCTCTCCTTCTCCCCTAAGGATGCCACTGAGCTGGTTTGCACCTGTCTATTTTCAACCTGACTACATATTACTGAAGAAAAGAAGTCTTAAGTGAGAACACCCATGCCTGTTTACACGCATTTGAAGAACTATCAGGGGAAGGGGGCACAGGCTGAGGGAGTCTCAGCAGCCCCAGAGGGCAGAATGCAGAGGAGAGATGGAAATGCGGGAAAACAGACTTCCATAAAGCAGAAGGAAAAGCTTTCTAACCGTATTGTCACCTCACCAGAATAGACTGCTTTTTGAAAAAGTGAGCTCTCAGCCTTGTACAAAGGATTTAAGCTGGGCTGGACACACACCTACTAAGGACTCTAGGGAGGGCCACCCCATCCTCTCAGTGGAGAGGTGGGGGGCAGGGTGTGGGCCAGATCAGGACTTCTGTCTCTTTCAACTACCAGCTTTGAGATTTTTAAAGAATTGAGCTTATTTCTTATCCTACTTTTAGGGGATGCTCTATCAGCTCCTCATAATACTTAGAAAACTAATCATAAAATAAAGTCAACAAAAACAAAACATTGAAAATGTTAATATTGATAAATCCCTCTCAAGTCCGATCAAGAAAAAGAGAGAGAGAGAGAGAGAGGAAGATAACACATTAGAATTCTTTTCTCCCAAAGAAACAGCTAGCAAATATCATAGTAAGTGTGCATCCAACAATCCTTGAAAAAAAGTGTAGTAATTCCTGTTAATTTTCATCCCGAATCTGAGGTTTCTAGCCTTATATTCTGTCATTTAATATTCTTTTCACATAAAGGACAAAGTAGTTCAGGCACTCATTGATCTGAAATCCAATAAAAGAAAAAAAACTGTTAATGGGGTTGACTGGCTTTTTCGCAATGTAAGGAATTTTGAACGAAGGAAAGTTTTAAAAAATTTTTATGAGATGGGAGGCAATTCTGTGATTTCATAGTTTTACTTTACTTTCATTCAACCGAGCTCCCTCTTTCTAGAAAATCTTCCGTTTGTTGGTAGATAAAAATACATTCTCAGATTCTCCCAGAAGCTGCGCCATCAGCCTCATAGACTAAAAAGAAGCCTCGTTTCCTTGTGCCGCTATAGAAATGTCTCCCTTCTCCACTCCGGGCTTAACCGGATCAAAGTCTTTTTTCATTCTTAGTTGATTGTTCTCAGAAAATCTGGAGTTCAGACAGGCTTGAGCCAGGAGAGGGTGACCTCTTGAGGGCAGACCCTGAGGCATGGCGCTTCTCTTCCCTTCTCAGACCCAGGAGAGCTGCGCCCCCTCTCCGTGCGCGGGGAGAGTACTCCCGCCGAGCCGAGAAATCCGTTACCAGGCTGCTGTGTCCCCAAGGGCCATTCCAGGGCGGAAGAGGACCGGGAAAACCGCTGTGTTGATTCCTCGGCCCTGTCGGCTGGGCGCGCAGCGGGTCAGGTTACAGACAGGTGAGTCTGGCGGATGGGCGAGCTGCGGGCGCCAAGGAACTCCAGGCGAGACGTGCCGCCGGAGCCCGCGCAAGTCCGATCACCCACCGGAGTGGTGCTCCCACCGCAGCGGTGGAGGCACGCTGCGCGTCCCCGGGCGCACCCGAGCAGCGGCCGTGAGGGGGACAGCGCGCGCGCCCCCCAAATGCAGGCACGGCTGCTCTTTGAAACTTGGCATCTTTCTCTTACCAACTCCTCTTCCTTCTCTCCCAACTCCCCCTCCAGGTATAAAGGCAGAGAGGAAAAGCCAAAACCAAAAATAAATACAAAGCTCTCCAGCCACCTCCCCAGTAGCAGCCCAACTTCACTTAACTGGGAGACGTATTTCCCAGCCTCGGAATTTGGGGAGCGGGCGGTTATGGGGAGCCCATAATGGGAGTGGGCAAGGATAAGAAATTTGTTACGACGCCGCGTTTGCACAACATGCGCTTGGCTTTTGTTTCCATTGTGTGTTTAATTGGGTTGATGGGGCTCTTGGGGTGGTAGGTCTTGGGGTGGAAGCTGCTTTAGCAGAGCTAGCCGACTTGTTTTTCCTAGATTGTATGGCACAAATCAATAATAACGACGTGTTCTAAATTTTATTATTACTGTGTTTATTTGGGGGACTGTTGTAAATGATGGGGAACCTAAGCCTCCAAGTTACCCCCTTTACGAGATCAGAGTCCTGGAGAGTCTCCCCGCCGCCTCTACCTTCCGCCCGCCGAGATTTCAGCCAGCCGCGGAAACCATCCACCAAGTCCAGAGGAACTGAGCCATTTTCTTGCTTGCCAGTCGGAGACAAATCCACCTGGGGGCGGGGAGGGGGGGGTGCAACTCGCAGGAAGCTCCAACTCAGGATGGATGCCCTGGGAAGCGGACCTGGCGGCTTACCTCTAAGAGTTTGCCCGGAGGTGCATGTGATGGGGACTGGGGCGAGAGGTTGATTAAAAAACGTTCTTCCCTTTTTAAAAAGGGGAGGGGGGGGGAAAGAATCAGACGTTAAATTCTTTTGCAAACATTCATGCCTAAGGAAGGGCTGGAACAGGCAGCCCCGGCCGCCGGAACCGGTCGGACAGGTAGCGAGCTTGTTGACACCGTTATGTTGCAGGGCGCATGCTCACTCCCAAGTTTCCTGGTGCCTTTTCTATTCCACCTTATGAAACTTTTTCCTCGGCGTGGTCTCACCCGCGATTTAAGGCATAGGTGTCGCCGAGCCTGGAGGCTGGGAGTCGCCGGGCGTGCGGGGGAGAGGCCTGGGCCGCGCCGCGGCGGGGGGCGGAGGGAGAGGGCAGGCTAGGCGGGAAGGTGGGCTCTGGCCGCGGGGAGCCGGGGACCGAGTCCCTGCCGCAGCTTCTAGCGGGGAGCAGCCGGGAGGAAGGGGCCGCCGGCCGGGGAGGGGGCGCCACACCATGCCCAAAGTCTTCCTGGTGAAGAGGAGGAGCCCCGGGGTCTCCGTCCGCAGCTGGGATGAGCTCCCGGATGAGGAAAGGGCAGACACCTACATCCCAGGTGAGCGTCGCGCGGGGGCCGGGCCTGGGCGCGGGACTCCCGAGGTGGGGGCAGGGGTGGTCGGGTCCCCTCAGCTCCTCGGCGGGGGCTGGACTCCCCACCTCATGCCCCCTCTTTCGGGGCGGGCGGGGAGGGGGGTCCTTGAGGAGCGGGAAGACCAAGAGTGAGAGGCTGGGGAACCCGGGACGCTCTGCGCCCCCTTCCCCCTAGTGGGCGCCCGTAATTGCCCGGCGGCGGGACCGTTGGCTGCCGCGCGGGCCGGGGTGAACCTGGAGGGGAGACGGAAGGCCAGTAGGGGTTACTCTCAGTCCCATGTCCTCATGGGGTTGCACCTGGATCCGTCAGCCCCTCGGGCTAGGTGGGTTGAGGTCAGACCCCTAACCCCCTATCCCAGAGAGAGGAAACTTGGCGCACGGGGTCCGCGGCCGCAGAAGGCCCTCGGTTCCTTGTGGGCGCGGGGACTGGAACCGAGGGGCCGGCCCCCCGAACCCCGTGCTCGCTCCGGAGGCCCAGCCGGGGACTCGCTGGCCCACCCCCGCGTGTTGCCCACTTGGCCAGGTGCCCAGGTCCAGGGCGGGGCGGCGGCGGCGGCACCGCCCGCAGGTCAAACTGCCGCGGACGCCCGGGCCTGACGCCGCGTGTCTGTGTGTCGGGGCGCCGCCCCTTCCTCCGCAGTGGGCCTGGGCCGTCTGCTCCACGACCCCCCCGAGGACTGCCGCAGCGACGGCGGCAGCAGCAGCAGCGGCGGCAGCAGCAGCGCGGGGGAGCCTGGAGGCGCCGAGAGCAGCTCGTCCCCGCGCGCCCCCGAGCGCGAAATCCCCGAGCCCGGCGACGCCGAGGGCCCGGGCGGACACCTGGCGGCGATGCAGCGCCCGGTCGCCAGGTCGAAAATCAAGGTACGGTGTTGACTCTGCCCCCCGCCGCCACCTGCACCACGCCCTGGCGTCGGGCTCTGGGAGCCCGCGCCCCTCCCTGCCGCGACCGCCCGCGCACCCGGGCACCCAGGCACCCGGGCACCGAGTGCGCCCTCTGCGCCGCTCCTGCACCTGCCTCTGGGTCTCGGCCAGGGCGGCTCTGCGCGTCCTCCTGTCTGCTGGGTAGCCAGCGGCCGGCGCAGCTGAGCCCTGGAGGCCAGCTCCTGAGCCGGCACGGTCCGCGGGGGTGGCCTCTGGAACTGCCTAAAAGACCCAGGCCCAGCTTCCTCCCTCCAGCAGCCCATTCTCTGTGCAGAGCCTTGAAGAATCACCAGGCCGTCGGGGTTCCCGGGTTCGGAAAGGAGGGACCCAGGCTCTCAGGAATTCCATTCTCTGCGGCGCATTCCTAGCGCTATGAGAATTCCGAGTTTCACACACTTCCTTGCGTTCTGGAGGCAGTGGAGACAATTTGGCACACAGTGGACCTCTCACAATAACAGCTCTTCCCATTGACAATTATGAAGTGCCCGTTAGACTGCAGGTCTGTGCTGGGCACTTGAAATTTGTCATCTCTCTCAAATCTTGAATTAAACTGATGGATAAAGGGGTTCAACTGCAAATTGCCTCAGTGCCCCGCCCCCAGTGGGTTGGAGTGTTTGTTAACCATGCATTATCATTCTTCAACTCCCCCCTCCCCCGCCCCCAGTCTTCTAGAATTGTAAGCGACATCTTATCGGGACATTCATCTGGCTTTTCTGGGTAGAACTTCCATGATCGCCTGCTCAAATGTATCCGTTACCCGCAAGATTAAGGAATCTCATTCCACTGATTTAGTCAGCTGGAGCCAGGGAGTGGTGTTTTAGGAGTCACATGACCCCATTTCCTAGCCTGGTGGGACTCTGCGGGCTCCAGGCCCTGGGTGGTGGGCGAGAATTCTTGCGCGCGCCAAGGCGGTCCTTCAGCCCTGCTGCCCAGGCGGGGGATGGGGGGATGGGGAGGAGGAACTCTAGTGTTTGCTGTGGATTGGGTAAGACTAGGTTACTTTTCCTGGGCGAGGCCATCCCTCCCTATGCATATTACTGGTTCCTGGGGTTTGGCTTGGGGGTTGGCTAGGGTGCATTTGGTTATGAATTGAGGCTAGAGGCTGGAGCCGAAATCCTCTGGAAAGACATCTTTAAAGGTTGCTACGGCTCAAGCTGCTTGGTGTTAAAGTTGACTGCTGAGGTTCAAAGTCAGCTGGCCTGAGGGCTTTTCTGGGCCAGATGGGGTTAAGTGGGAGGGGACAGTTTGCCCGAGGCTGGTAGCTCTGCCCTCCAGGAAATTCTACAAAGTGTCCCACTTGCATATTTATCACCAGGCTGGAAGGACAATTGCAACGTTGTTTTGGGATTGACTGTAGTCAGTTTGCCCCTCTGTCCCCCAATTTCCCAGATTACCCTGGGAAGAAAGTGGCAGGGAAGAAAGATCCAGTCCCTTAACCAACATTTGAGGAGCTGTCTCTTGTCCCAGGCAAACAGCCCCATTGGATCCCTGGATTAAAGGAATACATAAACCACAGTCTTATTTCTATGATCTTGCCTACTTGCTGCCCCTGGGCTGGGGGATGGGGTATAGTGTTAGCTCCTCAACCTTAGCACAGCTTCCAGAGAAGTTCCATTTATTTACTGAGGATGTTTAGATTCCTTTTCCCTCTCAGCCTCCATCCGAAAATAGGAGACATTTTGGTATTAAGATACTCCAAGCCTCCAGAATTATCTTCTGTGGTGTTGGCCGTTTTCAAATGATTGTCCAAATCGCCAGTGACTTAGCATATTTCCTAATTCTAGAGTTCTATGCAGAACCTGCTGCTCTCTTAATTCTTAACCAGAAGAAAAGGAATGCCAATCCAGTATGAGGCCCATATATGATGCGTAATGACTGAGTTTGAATGACTTCAAGACACCCACTGAGCAGTTAGTTGGTTCAGAGGACTATAGGGGAGGGGCAGGTTTGAGCCAGTGCCCCGCAGAGAGGCAACATCCCATCTAACATAATGGAGTGCCTGCTGTGTGCCAGGCAGCCAGGAGATAAAAATGTTCCCTGCCTGGTGTTCTAGAATCATCTGGCAGTAACAGTTAAGCCTCTAGGCTCACTTTTTAGCTGCCTGATCTTGGGCAGGTTGCTAATCCCTCTGGGCCTCAGTTTCCTTGTCTGTGAAATGGGAATAATAATGATACCTACCTTATAGAGTGGTAAACATAATAAATGAGTGAAGAGAGGAACGTGGTAGGTGCCCATTAACTCTAGCTAGAATTATATGGGTTGGTGGAGAGACACAAATATTATTAACTCTGTTACAGCAAAGGGAATGCTAAAGCACAAGCAAAGATGTAATACATTCTGAGCCGGGAAAGGTTTCTTGGTGTGGATTTGAGGGCAGTGGAGAAGAGGGAGAGGCGGGCTCTAGGGCAGTGGCATGGGTTGAGCCCGAAGATTGAGTAGGTAAAGGACTCAAAGTTCTAGTGCCTGAAAATGGATAATGGACCTGGTAGGGTCAGAGAGAAGAGTGGGAGTTGAGGAGCTGGGCCAGGGCGAGATGATGAAGGGGCCAAGCCAAGAGGTGTGGATGCTCCTGCACAGGCACAGGAGGGCTTCTGGAAGGGTTTTGAGAAGGAAGACCTCAGTTGGGTCCATCTTACCAGCTGTGTTAGGGATACATTATCTGTCCTGAGTCTTAGTTTCCCTGACCTGTAAGGTGGAAAAGCAATAGAATCGGCCTCTCAGAAGGGTTGGTTAGATGGAATGAGGGGTGCAGAGAGTCTAGCACTTTTGTGCATGTGTGAACTGCCACTAGGGAGTTAGCGAAAAGTTATGTGCGGCAGGTTTCCTTAAGGTCCTCCAATATTCAGTTGCCTACAGTGGGGACAAGGGATTTGCCAATGTGGCTGTGCTGGTGGTGAGTGGATCTGGAAAGGAGCTGCAGGTGCTGGTTAGGAAACCGGCCTTTCCTAGCCTATCGGCCTATGACTGTGTGCCTCAGGGCATTTTGCAAAATTCTCTCTTTACTACCGAGGATTCAGTAATTTTCCAAACAGATTGAGGTGGAGAGATCATGTGTATCTAAGAAGGCGGTAGTGACAGATCCAGGTGGCTTTAAGTCTCTTTTTGCTTGTCCCATTCACAGGACTCCCAGATTACCCTGGGAAGAAAGTGGCAGGGAAAAAAGATCCAGTCCCTTAACCAACATTTGAGGAGCTGTCTCTTGTCCCAGGCAAACAGCTCCATTGGATCCCTGGATTAAAGGAATACATAAACCACAGTCTTATTTCTATGATCTTGCCTACATGCTGCCCCGGGGCTGGGGGATGGGGTATAGCGTTAGCTCCTCAACCTTAGCACAGCTTCCAGAGAAGTTCCATTTATTTACTGAGGATGTTTAGATTCCTTTTCCCTCTCAGCCTCCATCCGAAAATAGGAGACATTTTGGTATTAAGATACTCCAAGCCTCCAGAATTATCTTCTGTGGTGTTGGCCGTTTTCAAATGATTGTCCAAATCGCCTGTGACTGTGGGGCAGAGACCCCCAGAAACCCTGATCACCATGGCCCTTCCTTTGAAGGCTTATCGGAACTAAGTAACTCTGAAGTTAAATCAGTTACTTGGCGGACATTTTTCCTTCCTGACTCAGTGGCTGGTGGGACCCAGGTGGAGGTGTAGAGTAGCCGGTGAATCTGTCTTCTCCCCCTTTTTCCTTCTGTTCTCGTCCTTTGGCCTCTCCCAAGGATACTTCACAAGGAATGGAGTGTAGAATTCCTTCTGAAGGAATTCTGGCCTTTTACCTGGCTCTGTAGTCCAAGTCTTCGAGTCCTGCCGGACATAGGAATATGCGGTAGTCTTTTTCCTTTCTTCCTATCGTTTGTCACCCACCCCAACAACCAGTAATCCATGGTTATTCCTGCCCGTCCAACCCCCGCCCATCCCCAATACATGATTTTGAAGCACGTCTCATTTATCACATTACTTCAACTATAAACACCTCAGAATGTGCCTGTAGTAGATAAAGGCCAAAATACATGATCACACCTACATTAAGAGTGGTGTTCACATTGCTAATTGTCTCATCAACTCATATTTTTTTCAGTTTGCTGAATCAGGTCCACACAATGTCTACACATTGTAATTGATTGACATGTCTTTCAGTTCTTTCATAATTTGTCCATGTTCCCTCCATCTCTTTTCCGTGTCCTTACAAGTTAATTATTGAAGAGATGAGTAATTTGCTTGGAGAGTTGCTAACAATCTGGATTTTGAGGAATGCATCACCACGGAGTCTAACGCTCCTTGGTCTTCTGTGTTTTCTCTAAATGGATAGTTGGGTCTGTAGCTGCACTGCCCACTCTGGTAGCCAAAGTCACGTGTGACTATTTAAATTTAAACTAAGTAAAATTAAAAATTAAGTTCCTCAGCCACATTTCAGGTGCTCAGTAACCACATTTCAGGTGCTCAGTAACCACATGAGACCTAGTGGTTACTGTATTGGACAGTGCAGATTAGAACGTTTCTGTCATTGCAGAAAGTTCTATTGGACAACACTGCTTTAGATGCTTGCTCAGGGGTATTTATTTTAGCTAAAAAATATGTCGGGGGGAGGGTCATCTACTAACATCAGGAAGCACACAATATTTGGTTGTCTCTTTGTGATATGAGCAGCTGTTGATAGTCAGGGTCTAAATATTTTAGGTTATTAGGGGTTGTGATATTGTCCTTCATTTCTTAGCTGATACTCTTGTATAGAGATATATTTCCCCTCACCTGCTGTTTGGTTCCCAGTGAGGCAGTTCATTTAGGAAAGGCCAAGTAAGATTCCCTTTATTTACCAGTTTTCAAGCTAATCTGTTTGTTCACCAGAATTCTACAGCGATGGCCAACTTGTTTATTTTTAAAATATTGTTGTGAATCATGATTTAAGGGGTTTTTAAAAACCCATCCATTTGATATTTGGAA